ACACACACACACACACACACACACACACACACACACACACACACACACACACACACACACACACACGCACACACAACACGCCAACCTTCTTGTGATAGGTGGTTGAGAGGCCGGTGACAATGCCCCTGATCTTGAAGTCCCCGTGCAGCGTCATCTGCTCAATCTGCGACGTCACCAAGATGCCCGACACAAACTCCCTACAACATGAACGTGTGGACGGTGGATGGTGGGGGATTGCGTGAGAAGCACAAAATATCACAAAACATCGCGGCACGCGCACGAACACGCAACAAAAGAAGACGCATAGTTGCATCCAATCCACCCACACATTTGCAGCATACACACCCCAACACCAGCATGCAAGCACACACACACATAAGCACACACACACACACACAAGCACACACACACACACAAGCACACAAGCACCATCAGCAGCACAAACAGAACAACAACCAAAACCACGCGTCTCTGACACAACAAACAAAGATGGAACCCTACCCGAGGTTGGTCATGGCGACGGCGTGCACGCTGTTGAACGGGTTGTGGAGCCAGGGTCGTTCCAAGATGAAGCCTTCCGCGTAATCTGAGGTCATGACGGTCAGCATGGGGTTGACGGAAGCCGTGTATGGGGCGGCAAGGTGCACAAGGCCCGCAAACGCATAGCGCCCAAAGAACGGAACCTGAGCACACGACTGCCACAGCCCAAACGTCGACAGGGCGTGCGAGCGGCCATGCTTCATCGAGTTCAAGACCACCATCGGCGCCGTCATTGCCGTGCCAACCACGGCGGCAGACGCAAGCCACAGCTTGTCCAGTGGGCGGATCGCCCAGCGCAGTATGCCACCAAGTCCAATCATGGTGCTTGTACAACAACAATAACTCAAGTGAGGGAAGATGAGGGGAGTGGGGTGTTTGTTGTTTGTTGTTGCAGAGTCAGTCAGCCAGTGTGTGTGTTTGATATTGCTCGCCAACCAAAACCAACAACTGACATGAACTGAATTCAGTCTTGTTTGCTGTCCGACACCACAATTTGTAGTCGGATATCGCCACTGGTGCTGGCTGCGTGTTGACGAGAGAAGCAACGACGACAGAGAAGATGAGCAGTCCACTGGCTGAAAGGTGTGGTGATGTGATGTGCGTGTGTTGATTGTGGTTGATATGATGTGCGTGTGTTGATTGTGGTTGATATGATGTGCTTTTCTGTCTGTGTGTGTGTGTGTGTGTGTTCATGTGAGTAAACGTGCTTCTCTGTATGTCTGTGTGTGTGTCTGCCTGTCTTTGAAGCATTGTCTACGTGTGTCGCTCGCTACGCTGCTGCTGCTGCTGCTGCTTCATACATCACAGCTCATTCTCACCGCCAATTGCTCTCCTTCCACTCCCTCTTTCGCCTGCCCCTCGTCTCTTTCTCGTCTGCAAACAGCACGACAGCCTTGGTGGCTGCGCTGCAAGACAGCGAATCCTTCAGTGGTGCGTTCATTCTCGAATGGAGGGGGGGGGGGACTTGTTTGGCGCCATTCCTGTGTTGCTCTTTGCTTTGCGTTCCTCATGCCAACAATCTCTCATGTGCCCCGCTTCCCTGCTCCCATCCTCGGCGCCTTCTTTCCTCTTTTTGTGCAGTTGGGGCTGTCGAAGTTCTGCGCGATGTGTTTGCCGGATTTGCCACTGGCGACGTCTCCGCCGATGACATCACCGCCTTCCTCCAACAGGACGTGATCAAGGTGTGTGCGTGTGTGTGTGTGTGTGTGTGTGCGTGTGAACGTGTGTATGTATGTCTGTGTGAAGGTGCATGCCGTGTACGTGCGCGTGTGCCGTGTGGGCGTGTTTTTTTTGTGCAAGTGCCTTAACTGGTGTTGCTCAGTGTCTGTGTGTTTCTCCATGCATAGAACCCTCCGCAAGTGAGCGTCAATGTTTCTTGGCTGATTGACTCACATGTGCACGCGTCTTGGCACTCATTTAAATCGTGAAGGAGAATGAGGGCTTTGATGTGATTGCGGCAGACTCCCTCATGCTTGCTGTTGCCGAGAACAAAGGTACAGCAAGAACGACAACCGTCTACGCGCCTGTGTGTGTGCGGCAGCTCGTATGCATGGCATGGCGCACGCGCTACACAAATTTCTTGCGTTCAACCAACAGGATTAACAGCTACATACACACACACACACACACAACCTCCTCCACCACCTTGTCAACCCCTCTGCTCACCTTCATCTCCACCCCATCCACCGCGGGCAAACGCGCGGCGTTGCATGTGCCATGTCCAGCCAACGAAACCAAGATGCACGAGCTTGTCAAGGCCGTGTTTGCATCTGGCGCCATCGACCAGAGCATCCTGCGCGAACGCCTCGACATTGCCGTTCTCAAGGTGCTGCACACACACACACGCACACACACACACACACGTGTATTGGTGGCGGTGGTGGTTGTGTGTTTTGTTTGTTTGTGTGTCTTGTGTGTCTGTGTATGTGTTCGTGTGCACAAATAGTTGCGTACATTCCTTGTTTGTTTGGTCTTTCGTCGTTGCTGTTGTTGCCCTTGCGTATTGCATGGCGTGTGCATAGATGCTGCGATCGCACTGAATATCAAACTGTGCGCGCTCACCAGCGTGCTCATTTCACACACACACACACACTCACTCACACACTCACTCACTCACTCACTCACTCACTCACTCACTCACTCACTCACTCACTCACTCACTCACTCACTCACTCACTCACTCACTCACTCACTCACTCACTCACACTCACTCACTCACTCACTCACTCACTCACTCACTCACTCACTCACTCACTCACTCACGTTCATGCACTCACTGTCACCCATTACATGTGTTCTCAACCTCTATTTCGTGTCCTTGTTCCGTACCGGCAGGCCTGCAAACTTGTTCCCGCCGACTACGACAAGGGGCTGATGCGCATGCGCATGAAGGTGTGTAGTGATGGCATGCGAAGCATTGGAGCACGTGGTGGACCAGCACCACGCACAACCACACTCCCCTCGCACAATACACGAGACATAACAAAGACCACACACACGCGCGCGCACACACACATGCATGCAAACAACACAATGTGTGTATGTGTGTGTGCGGGTGTGCAGGTGTGTGCGCGCGCGTGTGAGAGAGAGCACTTTAGGCTCCCCCCCCCCTCCACACACACACACACACTCTCTCTCTCTCACACACCTCACCACACACACGCACACACACCTCTGTCCTGATGAGCAAACAGATGTTCTACAAGCAGGAGAAGTACAACCTGTTCCACGAGGAGAACGAAGGGTTTGCCAAGGTGGTGACGGAGCTTGGCCAGGACTTCACAGCGGCCAGCGTCACCGCTGACGATCTCATCACCCGCATCCGCACCCTCGTCGGCTTCTTCAACGTGAGGGCATGGCAGTGGTGGTGGTGGTGGTGGTGGTGGTGGTGGTGGTGGTTTTGTTGGTTGGTTGATGCGATTGGTTGTATTTGGCTGGATGATTGTTGCCTTTGTTCGTTGCTGTTCTTCTTCTTCTCTTCTTTTTCCTCTTCGTCCTCCTTCTTGCTCCACGTCATTCAACGTCATCCGCTCACACCACACACACCACACCACACACCACAACACACAAACACCACACCATACATTGCCGTCGCCACCTCCATTGCCAGCTTGATCCCAACCGTGTGCTTGACCTGATGCTGGATGCGCTTGAAGAGCACCCGCAACACGCCGCCGTCTACACCGCCTGCCTGGCGCAGTTCACGACAGCACAAGACTCCATCGCCAACCTCATCGGCCTCAAGCTCGCTGCAATCGCAGTCAGTTCAAGCCGTGACGTGATGTGTAGCATGGGTGTAGTGTAGTGTGCTGTGGTATGGCATTGGCTATGTGTGTGTGTGTGTACGTGATGCTGCGCTGTATGACGAACTACGAGCCCACTCACCACCGCCATCACCACTCGCCACTCACCATTCACCACTCACCACTCGCCACTCATCACCGCCATGGGGCTGATCACGACCGTTCAGAAGCAGCCCGGCCCGCCGCCAACGTCGCTGTATGCGACCATCGCCCACCTCATGGACAGCGGTCTCCTCTCCCTCTCCGCCCTTGAGCCGCACCTCCTGTACGCACCACGTGTGGTGGCATGCCGTGTTGTGTGTCTGTGTGCCGTGCTGTGTCTGTGTCTGTGTCTGTGTCTGTGTGTGTCCGTGTCTGTGTGCCTGTGCGTGTCCGTGTCTGTGTGATATGTCGTGTGTAAGAGCAATCATTGCCAGCCCGACAACACATTTTCCTCGCACTCCCGCCGCTGTCCCCACTCAACACTGGACTCTTTCCAACATATGTGTGTGTATGTGCTTGCGGTTCTGTTTCAGGCCAACGCTTGAGGAGACACGCGAGCGCGTGCGCGCATATGTCAAGTCCGTCACCAAATACGTCAACACCGTAAGCTGTGCTCCCACGTTCTGCCGAAGCGTGAATCGTCTGCCATCATCATCTTCGCCATCATCATCTTTGTCCTTGTTGTTCCATTCGAGAGCAGTCGACTTTCCTCCTCGTCATTCATGCCATTCACCCCCCCCCACCTCTCAACCACCGACTACCGCATATTCAGCCCACTCATCACCAACTGACAACCCACGATTCAACTCATCACCAACTGACAACCCACGATTCAACTCATCACCAACCCCCCCCCCTTTGTCGTTTCAGTCTGCCATGTCGCAGGAGGTGCAGGCTCAGCTTGATGCTGCTGCCGCTGCTGCGGATGTGGACGAGCTGAAGGCGAAGCAGCGCGATCAGCGGCTTGGTCTCGCCGTTGCGTTCCTCAAAAACGGAAACTGGGACCTGGCAGAGAAGGTGGTGGCGGCCGTGTGTGTGTGTGTGTGTGTGTGTGTGTGTGTGTGTGTGTGTGTGTGTGTGTGTGTGTGTGTGTGTGTGTGTGTGTGTGTTGTCTGTCTGTCTGTCTGTCTGTCTGTCTGTCTGTCTGTTGTCTGTGTGCGTCTCGGTGTCTGCACAACTTGTGACGGCTGTGGTGCCTTCCCCTCCTCACATCAATAACCGCCGCCACTATCACCACCCCAGATAATGTCACAGCTGCCTGCGTTCTACGTGCCGTCGCTGCCTGCTGCGCGCACGGCGATGCTGACCACGCTGCACCACTGCATCGAGCCCCTCTACCGCTCCGTCGCCGCAACCAAGGTGGAGATGGTGGTCGTGGTCGTGGTGTGGAGGCGGCAGAGAGGAGAAGGGACACACCTGCACATGCACGCACGCGTATGCACAGGTGGAGAGAATTGAAAGAGCGGCTCACTCCCCTCTATTCTCCTCTATCCCCCTCGATCCCCCTCTATTCCCCTCTATCCTCCTGTATCTCCCTCTATCTCCACAGCTGTCCCGGCCCTGCCCTGCCGCCACGGCCTCGTCATCATCGTCATCGTCATCGTCATCGTCGATGCCTGCATGCACGTCGCTGGTTGACTTTGCGGCGCGCGTCATGCCTGCACTCTCCTCGCTCGGGCCTTTTCTTGCAGACGACCCCGTCCTCATGACAAAGGTGCTGTGATGGTGGTGGTTGTGGTGGTGGGGTTGGTAGTTGTATTGCTTGCTGTTGTGTTGATGTGCACAGTTTGCAGAGTCCTGCCTCCCTGACACACTTCCATACACTCACATGCACGCACGAAACAAACGCAACCATCCCCATCCCACCGCAACGGTCTCGTGGTGGTGTACAGGCTGTGCGCGTGTGTGCGCATCTTGTGTCGCTGGCAAAAGAGGCCGGAGAAAAAAGCACGGCAATGCTGGCGGAGGTGGAGGATCTGTTTGCCCGATGCATCCTCCCCTCCCTCATGCGTTGCTCAAGGTGCTGTACACGGTGCCCTTGCTGTTGTATGCGTGTGTGTGTGTGTGTGTGTGTCGGTGTGTGTCGGTGTGTGTGTGTGTGTGTGTGTGTGTGTGTGTGTGTGTGTGTGTGTGTGTGTGTGTGCGTGTGTGTGTATGTGTGCGTGTGCCGAGGTTGAAACTCATCTTTCTTGCACATGACTCCATTAACACGGCACCTGGCCACACAACACCACACCACCCCTCCCCTATTGTTGGTGAGCAGCAACGCGCCAATTGCTGCGGATGTGTGGGCTGCGCTGCAGCAGCTGCCGTACCAGGCCCGCTTCAAGATCTACGGCTACTGGAAGGTCCGCCCTCCTGGTCGTGGTCGTGGTCCTGGTCCTGGTCCTGGTCGTGGTCGTGGTCGTGGTCGTGGTCGTGGTCGTGGTCGTGGTCGTGGTGGAGGTGGCGTGCATGAGCACTGGTGCTGCGATGTCGGTGGTGCTTATGCCGGTGGAACAACACGCCACATGCACACGTACAAGCACGCAAGCACATGACTACGCACATAGCTGCACGCGTGTGCACGGATGGTCGAGAGTTCCTCGACAAGCCCTCACGATGTATCAATGATTGCTTTTGTGCACACGTGTTTGCAGAATGAATCCTGGAAGAACCAGCCGGAATTGCTGCTTGTGCGTGCGAAGACTTTCAAGAAGGCAAAGTCAGTTGGAAGCCAGAGCAGCAGCGTGTGCACGTGCATGTGTGTGTGTGTGTGCGTATGCGCGTGTGCCCGTGTTTCAAGTAACCCCTGTTGCGTTCTCACCACCGCCACCACTACCACCACCGCCACGCTATGTAGGTCACTGTTCCAGCGGTTGACGGCAGAGAATGCTGGCAAGAAGATGGCGCACGATCTGAGCAAGGTTGCATTCACCAACCCCGTGCACCTCTTCGAATACGCGCTCAGGCAGATTGAGGTGCGCTGGCATGGCTGGTAGTGCAGGCGTGCGATGAGCTTCGTCGTCCGGTGATGTTGTGTTTGTGTTTTGGGTTGTGTGTTTGTGTCTGTTTCTTGTGTGTGTGTGTGTGTGTGTGTGTGTGTGTGTGTGTGTGTGTGTGTGTGTGTGTGTGTGTGTGTGTGTGCTGTGGCCTGTGGTTCGCTGTATTCACTCCGGCTTGACCACAGCCACCAACTAACCGTTCACCATCACACCGTCCACCACCTCCTCCCACCACCATCCCAGGCGTACAGCAACCTCGTTGAGCCGCTGTCTGATGCGCTGAAGACACACACGCACCTCGCATACGACATCCTCTCCTTTTGTGTCCTCGAGGCGCTCTCAAACCCGCAGAAGAGCAGGATGAAGAAGGAGGTGCGGACTTTCTGTGCCGTTGTGCAGTCGTCGTGGTGGTGGTGGTGGTGGGAGGTGGTATTGTTGTTCTTTGTTGTTGCGTTTGCGTTTGCGTTTGCGTTTGCGTTGTTCCTCCCTCTCTTTCCCTCTCCTCTTGTGCCCATTTCACTGCCTCTCATCGCCAACACCATCACCTCTTGAACTGCATTTTGTGCAGGATCTGTTTGAGAGCTCGTGGCTGCAGAATTTGGCCGCGTTTGTTGGTCTCATCCTCCGCAAATACCCCGTCGACTTTGAACCCATCTTGCAGGTGCGTGGTGTGTGTGTGTGTGTGTGTGTGT